TCAAACCAATTTTTTTATATTTTCTCCATATGGCACTATAAGGGATTTTGAAGGTTCTATATGCATGCCACACCAGCATATTAACACATTTTTTAAATAAAATTGGATGACGGTGATAATATTGATGTGAAGTGAAAGGTGGAAGAGGATTTGTGTTGCTAAAAAAAGGATTGAAACTATAATTGTAATAAACGCTAGCGGTAGGTATGGTCCGGTTCGGTTTGGTTTTCCTCTTGAATTGAAAACGAAATCATAATTTTCATACGTTCTAGTTCAATTCTGTTTTTATAGAAACTGTATAGAAGAACCAAACCAAACTGGACCTATACGATTCTAGTTCAATTCAGTTCGGATTTCGATTTGGAAAGATAAAAATATAAATATGTGGAGAATGGAGAAATAGGAAGTATAAAAAAAATATATATATATATATATATATATAGGAAGAACAAAAAAAATGTAGAATAGATGAAATAAGAAAGAGTTAGAAGAGAGGAAGATAAATAGAAAGAAATATGTGGAAAAGAGAGAAAGACAAAAGCACAACAAGAACAAGTATGGTTCACTGAAAAGAAAGATAAATTGGACTAAATTAGTTATTTAGTTGGGTATAAATTGGAACTAGACATTTGAGTATTAATTGTGCCAAAATATCTAAATATTACTTGGAATTACTTATGTTAGTTGAATATTAATTCAACTTACTAATAATTTTGGGTAAAATTGAATAAATAAATTTAATATAACCGGTCCGATTTGGTTTAGATTGATTTTTCCAAGATAAGAATCAGGGCGGGAACCAATCCAAAGCGGTCTAGTTCAGTTTTTTAGCCTAGGGTGACCATTTTTCTGACTCAGTTCACGGTATGGGTGGTTGCGGTTCGGTAACCGCGAATTTTTGCCCAAACCGCAAACCGACCGACTATTTGCCGTATGGTGATTTTTGAAACCGCAAAAAGCGGTCGGTTATCGTGAATTAGCGGTTTAAAACCGCAAGTTCTTTTTGTGTCATAAAAATCCAATTTTTCACATTTTATGCCTAATTTTGATGCTTCTTTTGAAGCCTTTTGATTTCAAGCATACTTTAACCCAAAAATATAAATTCACAACCTCAACTTCGTAATCATATATAAATTCATAACCTCCTCAACTTCTCAAGCATTCACAACCTAAAGAAAATTAAAGTTACAATTCCAAGCATTCCAATTAAAGTTAAACTTCCCAAGCATTTACAACATCAACTTCTCAAGCATTCTAATTCCAAATCCTTTAAAGTTACAAACTAAAAGGAAAATGCAATGCAAAATGAATTAAAGTTACAACTCAAAGAAAAAATCCAATTCAAAGTTAATTAAAGTTACAAACTAAAAGGAAAATGTAATGCACTAATGTTACAAATTAAAGTTACAAACTCAAGTGTTGGTGGTGGTGAGTGGATTTGAATGACCTCGTTGTGTTGTTTGAGCACCAATGCTATCTACAAAATGCAATTTTTTTTTTATAAATATAGTCTCTGTTTGCGGTAACCGCAAGTTTTGAAAATCAAATACCGCAAATGTGGTTCGGTTATTCATACCTCAAATGCGGTTTGGTTTCCCGCGATTGCGGTCTTATTACGGTAAATTATTAGTTGATTTTTACGATTTTTCAATTTTTTAATTTTTCGGTCTAAAATATCACTCTTAGTTCACGGGTTCAAATGCCCACCTTAAAACCCTCTTACAATTAGTAATCATTTGGCAGTTAATGGTTGGCGCGCCTTGGCGGTCAATAAAGGCTATAAAAATCTCCAGATCGGACAAAATTACCCTTCCGAGATAATTTGTATAGTCAGGGGAATATACTGAATTAAATTGGGAAGACAAATTGTATATTTTAGTCGCTATCTCACGCCCCCACCCAAGTTTTCGGTTGGCTTCTAGAAGGTCTACGATGAACAAGGCCAGCCAGTTAAATTGAGCCACGTGCGGATGATCCATTAGATTTGTCTATTATATTTAACTTTACGTAGAGCAAGTAGTTGTGTATAAAACGAGAAGGATAGAGAGTAGGTCACTTTTGTCAACTGAATGCAAGCGTGTCGGCCAGAAGATGACCGAGCCTTTGTCCCTTTACGTTATCACAATATTGCCCTAACTTCTCTTCTTATTTACTAGACTAGCACTTATTTTTATTTTTATATAGTGAAACTTGTATGCATATTATGTTAATTAAATAATTATAATTTTCACAGCACCTCTCAAATTAATATATTATAACTAAATAAATTTTCAAATTTTCAAAAATTTAAAACTTAAAATTTGATCTATGACTTTTTTTCTTCTTTAAAGTTTGGTCCACCGAAAACCTCTATTTTGAGGTAAATATAATATAATTGGGGGCAATGCAGGAACAACATTTCATATATTTATTTATATGAATCAAAGATGGTGATCGAGTCAACTAGGATCTGTGTATGCCAAGGGTGATAATGGTGGTGTTTATATATATATATATATATATATATATAGAGAGAGAGAGAGAGAGAGAGATTATCCATTGTAGGGGCTATAATTGCATCTTTCCATTTACACATTGTACGTAGTACCTTGCTCTTCTTGTTTAAACAAAGAGACAGATTTCTTAATCTAATGATATTTGTACGTACCTTCTGTGTGTTAATGATATAAAGAACATGTTTTATAGTATTCGAATCAATGAGTTTATTTGCATATAATATGTGGGTTAAGTCAGTTGGTCAATGTGTTACTCTCTTTGCATCCGAGTTCGATTTTATTTCTCGTATATTAGTTTAGAATAACACATATTATAAAAATAAAAAGCCAATAAGTTTACTTGAGAATTCTCTCTGGACATATACACAAAGGTGACTTGAAATTGATAATGAGAATGTAATTGAATATCGGAATACTATTGAGCCACTTTCATAGTGGGCAAGATATCCCTAAGAAGGAAAACAAAAGAAAAATTAAAGGAGAACAAGAGATAATGGAAAAGTGATGGAGGTGGATTAAGCTGATCATGAAGGAGACCAAGGAGTATAACGGAGACGATTCAACTGATGAAGATAATCAAGGCATGATGAACGCAATTAACCATTAGCTAGAGACCTAATTTTTCATACTGAGTAGGTTAACCTATCTCTTGAAGTAGTTAATTCATTGTATGAATTTTGATAATGTAATGTATATATAAGAAATTGAAATACTATCATAGAGGGAAAAGATGAAGGAGATGAGAAAGAGATAGAAAGTCAGGAGAGATGAGAGAGGCGGAGAGAGTGAGACAAAGAGAAGAGAAGAAGATCCGAGTGTGAGAGAAGGTTTTAAATAAAAAGATAAGAAGATGAAGAAAAAAACTTTTGTTGGGATGGAAACCCCTTAAATATACTAATTTTACAATTATAACACAACTAGTTAGGGATGTGCAAGATCCAATCCAATCCGCTGAAATCAACTGGTCCAATTCAATCCAATTTTAATAAGTTCTGATGATTTGGTGGATTGGATCGGATCCCTAGTTTCACAAAATTGACATGATTGGATCGGATGACGAATTTACTTGTGAAAATATTCAATCAAATTAAATCAAATCCAACATAGTTATTTACATGCTTATTTTGCTCATGTATGTATTTTTAATTGAAAAGGTTATAAACATTATAAATCATTTGATGGAGTTATGCTAAATGTACTATACAATTAAAATAATTTTTTTTTGTAGCATTTCATTTATATTTTACATTTAGGTCTATTAACATGTTTGATTATATTAAACCTAACGATAAATGTTTCATATTTCATATTTGTCTTTTTTCATTATAAAAATCGATCATTCAATCCAATATCAATTTGATTAGATTGGATTTAAATCTATGATCCAATCGTATTGGATTAGAAAAATCACAATTCAATTTATATTGGATCGAATGTGGATGAACTAAATTATATTGATTTTGAACCGATACACACCCCTTGACTCCAACTTTTATAAATATTTAAAATTTATATCAATCAGTACGATTAAGTTGAATTGACAAAATTTTCCTACTTGTAAACTAGACTGAGCCGACCAGCTCAATTTCATTTATCAATGAAAATTATAGATAAATAAATAGAAAATGGTACCTAACCAAACAATTCAGTTTGATTTGATCGGTTTGACAGGTTTACGGTTTGAAATGCCCAACTCTAATTTTGATGTACTGTTTTTTTAGAACAAACAAAACCTCATTTGGAATTCATGTATATTGATCCTACCTGAAAATGATGTTATTATTCTTCACCAATAAATAGTTTGTTTTCTTTTTCTTTATATACAACAAATTATATCAAAATATAAGAGATAGCAACGGGGGTACTATTGTCAATACCAAGAGAAAAGACATGGTAAACAAAATTAGAAGTCATTTGTAATTTTGAACCTAGATCGAGGGCATAGTTTATGCACCTTAAAAAATAGAGATAATTAAATTTTGTTTTGAATATTTTCGGAAACAACAAAGCTCTCCCCTTCTGGAATCTGGACTCTCTCTCTAAATTTCCATCTGTCTATCCAACTGTGTCTGAAGAGAGGTAGAGGGAGTCTAGAGAGAGAAAGAGCGGGTAGGAGGGAAGTCTATGCGGAAGTCTCTGCGAAAGAGGCTGGACCCGTACTCTGTCTTTCTCTCTCTCTTTCATCAAATGGTGGTTTTCACACGCTAAATTCTCCTTCTCAGCCTCTTCTCCAATTCCAAACCCAAAACCCTCTCTCTTCATTTCCTTAAATCACCTCCCTCATATCAAATTCTGGTCATCTTCCATTTCATCCAAAAAATACTTCCTACAAATTCCCATCCGTATATCTGAAAATTCTCATTACAATTGGGCTGCAGAGCAATTTGGATCTCAAACACAAAAAACCATCTACTATTTTTATCCAAAGAGCTCAGAGTTCGATTCGTTCCGGAACTGTGTTCAAATTCGGAAACCATTTTGGCACACAAAGCGTTTTTTTCATAGATGGGTAATTGTTGTGTGACCCCTCAAACGGGTTCACCGTTGAAAGACAAGAAGAACAGGAAGAACCCATTTGCAATAGACTACCCCGGGAACCAGGGCAATGGAGGCATCAAGCTCTCTGTGCTGAAAGACCCAACTGGCGTTGAAATCGAGCAAAGATACGAACTGGGTCGCGAGCTCGGCCGAGGAGAGTTCGGAATTACATATCTTTGCACCGATAGGGCCACCAACGAGAAATTTGCTTGTAAATCGATTTCGAAGAATAAGCTGAGGACAGCCGTGGATATCGAGGATGTAAGGAGAGAAGTTGAGATCATGAAGCATTTGCCTAAGCACCCCAACATAGTGAGCTTGAAAGACACATATGAGGATGACCATGCTGTCCATCTTGTCATGGAGCTCTGTGAGGGTGGTGAGTTGTTCGATCGAATCGTTTCCAGAGGCCACTACACAGAGCGTGCGGCTGCCGCCGTCACGAAGACTATTGTGGAAGTTGTTCAGGTGAGAATTTGGGTGGTTTTGAGTGATGCTGTTCGATTGGTGATTGGATCTTCTTTTGAGTTTTTGTTGTTGAATTTATGTAGTGGGGGATTGATTTTATTTAAAAGAACTATTTGGTTTTGGAAGTGCTAGACTATGGTTAAATTTAGAACTAATTCTGCCTTTTGTAAGTTAAGATCTTTGTTGAATAGATAGAAAATAGTCAGTTGATTACCTGGAAGTACTTAGAAAGAAGTAGCTGATAAAATTCTTTTGGGTAAGTTGGGTTGTTTAATTCTTTGATGAGTATATTCTTTGTCTGTCAGTTAATCTAGCTTTCGATGGTCAGATTGTAATTGCTGGAATTTGGTGAACTGATTCTTTTTCCTTGTTATGTATAGAATAGATCCTTCACAAGATTTATTCTTTGAGGAATCCACCTTTTAATAGTTTTACATGCGTTGGCATGAGTTAATGTGTTTAATTCTGTTGCAGATGTGCCACAAGCATGGTGTGATGCATCGGGATCTCAAACCCGAAAACTTTTTATTTGCAAACAAGAAGGAAACAGCTGCTTTAAAGGCAATCGACTTCGGGTTGTCAGTGTTCTTTAAACCAGGTAAAGTCTTCTCGAAATTATCACATTTGGTTTTCTTGTTTTGTTTGGTTTAACCAATGTGTTATCTTTTCACGTACATTACCAGGTGAAAAATTTAATGAAATTGTTGGAAGTCCATATTACATGGCCCCTGAGGTGCTAAGGCGCAATTATGGTCCTGAAGTAGATGTGTGGAGCGCTGGAGTTATACTTTACATCTTACTATGTGGTGTTCCACCTTTTTGGGCAGGTTTGTGTGTGTGTGTGTGCACGTGTGGGTTTTATATTTTTTCCTTAGTGGAGTTACAACTCCTGATGGACAGTAATTACCTTTATGCATGTTAAGTACCTTATATGGTCATGCCAAAGTGTCTACATATACACAATGGTCATACATGCATACTTGCATGTTGGACATGTACAGCTATGAATACTTTCTTGGACTTAAGTATGTTCAGAAAAAGTAAGTACGTGTAATTTTCGGTGGTATTTGCAACTTAATACTCCCACTCACTCTAGTAGCCGTGCAAGCTGCATCTGCCTATATTCTCACTGAAAAAATTAAGAGGGGAACACTATATTAAACTTCACATTCACCACGTATACTCTATCTGTGCGCTTACCCTGTCGACGCATGGACCATGGTTTGCCAATATATTATCCAAATACGTTAATTTTCATCAACTGATAACAAATAGAAACAGAATTTGGCATTGCTGTTATCAAAATACTAGCTTATGTGTTGTAGGTTAGGAATTTACTTACTAGCATAAGTGGCAGCCACCAAATTATAGTTACTGCAAATGCATTTCTATGTGCATTCAAGTAGAATAAAGACCATGGAATGAAGTTTCCATTTTTCTAATTTCTCTTTGCTCCTACGAATTCTAATTTGTTTGCTGGCTTTCCTAGCGTTATAATCTCTGATAATTTCTGACTTCAAATCTATTATCTTGCTGTGCAGAAACTGAACAGGGAGTTGCACAAGCAATTATACGGTCTGTTGTAGATTTTAAGAGAGACCCCTGGCCTAAAGTTTCTGATAATGCAAAAGACCTTGTGAAGAAGATGCTTAATCCTGACCCAAAGCAGAGGCTTACAGCTCAGGAAGTTCTAGGTAATGTTCCGTTCTGTGAATGACAATCATTATTGTTTAGTATAAATGAAACTTTTGTTGCTAGAAGGATTTGCTCATGAGTTTAAAAACTTCTGAATCATAATATAATAAACGTACATCTTGTTCTTGCAGATCATCCTTGGTTACTAAATGCAAAGAAAGCTCCAAATGTTTCTTTAGGTGAAACTGTGCGGGCGAGGCTCAAGCAATTCACTGTAATGAACAAGCTCAAGAAGAGAGCACTGAAGGTAATGCCCCAAATATTTCTGTTTGATAACATGTCAAACCCTGTTCATCTTCTTTGGATGTTCTACTGTGATATGAATGAGTCCTCTGTTACTAATGTTTTTATTTTCCATGTCTTTTTGAATCTTTTGGAATTTTAAATTAACAGGTTATAGCTGAGCATTTGTCAATGGAGGAAGTTGCTGGCATACAGGAGGGATTTAAGCTCATGGATACTAGCAACAAGGGCAAGATTAACATTGATGAGCTAAGAGTTGGGTTGCATAAACTTGGCCATCAGATTCCTGATGGAGATCTTCAAATTATGATGGAAGCTGTAAGTACTATCCTGAATAAGTGTATGGTTTATACAGTTTAGGGAGGCTTAGAGCTTAGAATTTGAGATATAGATTACTTTAGGCCAATTTTAGAGCCTAAGGTCTAAGGTTTAGTTCCTGGATTTGGGCTGCGCCTAAAAATTAAGAATTGAACTCCCAAGTCTTAAGCGATGATCGAGAAGTAAAAATGCAACCTTGAGGGTGTAACTGTGATACTTACAGTTACAACTGTAAATGTCCAGAGGCCAGAAAAAAGTGAGGGGACGGCAAAAAGCCATAATTTTTTTATATTAAATTTTTAGCGGGGATGGGGTGTTGACAAAAAACAAGGTGTATAGAAAATCTGAAGGCATTTAGACTTATGAAGTAATGCCCCTAATTTATTGCCCTTAAGGTCACTTTCAAATGGGCTTTGAAATTTGTGAGAGGAAATTGAAAATGGCATAATGTTAGCATTAATTTATCTCCAAGCATGCTTGCTATGAACTATTTTGTTCATACGTACTTCTAACATTTAGAAGGAAATCACATTGGATGAATAACTTCTTCCAAGTCCTCTAACCCCCTAATGCCTAGCCCCCAATTTTATTTAATGGAAACAAAAGGAAGTTAAATCAAAACTCTTCTTTTAAGTGGCCAAATTCCTCTTAGGCTGGTCTTCAGTGTCGACCTACATGTTTGATATATCTAAGCAAAAAGGAATTTGCAGAAGTGACCTTTAATCAGTTATGAACTTTAGGTGAAGGGGGAATAAAAGTGATTGTTTTGACATGACAGAACGTATCATATCTATGTACATTCAAGTCAGAAGAATGCTTAGATTATTTTCTGAATTACATAATTGTAAAATTCTGTTTATATTTACACATAGTAATCAGAGGTTGTGCTTTTTCTTTAACAGGGTGATGTTGATAATGATGGATGTCTGGACTATGGAGAATTTGTAGCCATTTCTGTTCACCTAAGAAAGATGGGCAATGACGAGGTGCACCTTCGCAAAGCATTTCAATTCTTTGATCGAAACCAAAGTGAGTATATTGAGATTGAGGAGCTGCGAGAAGCCTTGGCTACTGAAGTTGATGACAACTTTGAAGATGTTATTAATGCCATTATTCATGACGTGGATACAGACAAGGTTGGTAAAATCTCATGTTAATTAAAACTATAAATGATTCATATCATTTTCCTTTTCAAATTGTATCTTCATGTTGTTAGTCTGAGCCAAAAACAGGAATTTTTCTTGCCATGCATGATACTCTAAAATCATGCCAGTCCTCCATGATCTGTGTCAAAAAAAAATTTCATTTTTTATGCTTGCTTAGAGTTCACACTCAATGCCCATCCATGATTGCAGGATGGACGAATAAGTTACGAGGAGTTTGCTGCAATGATGAAGGCCGGCACAGATTGGAGGAAGGCTTCAAGGCAGTACTCACGAGAGCGGTTCAATAGTCTAAGTTTGAACTTGATCAAGGATGGATCATTTGATGAGAAAAAAGTGATTAGATGACTTGGAAGATTAACTTAAAAGTACTTGTGGGAAGATGCAAATTAAGGAAAGAATCTTTCATTTTTTGTTGTGTTTTTTTTAATTCTTTGTTCTGTATTGTTCCTCTGTTTCATCTTTTTTACACCCTTTTGTGGGTCTATAGGATATGGGCCAAAAGTGTTCATGTCTTGATGAATTGGGATGTATGTAACTGGTTTGTTGTATGGGTTTGGATGGGGATGAGTGGGTTGGAAAGAAGTTCATTGTGATTGTAAATATGTTACAAATTGGCATATATTTTCATGAAAGTCATTGTTGGTATAAATTAATGAGTTTCATGTGGATTTGAATTGACACATATATACAGTTAGCTGGGGATTTATAATACTCAATGGAAATGTTAGTACATGCCGCTGCTACTACTCTCACTTCTTTTTGCATCCTAAGCTGTAAATGAATGCATGGCCATATATTTGGTTGATAAGGTGAGTAATAAATGGAGTTGCAATTCAGTCTCATCCTTGTCTCTCAGCTACTTTCATGGCCTATCTATTCATTTGAACAACACAAACAACTCATATATAATAGATATCCCCTGCACCCGATGTCATAGGTTCTATTCCCCGCTTTCCCAATTTTACTTGTATTAAAAAACAAATCATTTATAATAAAAAGGAGAAGAAGTAAAAAAAATTGATCTAACCTTCCCAGTTGAGAAATTGCAATGGTTTTCAGATGCCTTAAACAGACTCACTCTTTGTTCCTTAGCTCTTACTCTCTTAACACACCTCACCCTTCATGTGTAAAAGAGATGAGAATCAACTCATCAAGAGTGCAAACTCAATCACATAAAGAGGAAAATATCAGCCCACAATGGTAAAGAAACTATTTGGACTCCACAAAGAGAAGTCTTCAAGCACCCAAAAAATGTAATCAGAATATGCAATTACTCACAACACCCATAAACTATATTTGAAAACTCATCAAATTCGTTGCTTTTTTATCCCGACCTACATTTACTTACCACACCCAACATCATTTGAAAATTATTCTAAAGCTAACCTTTGAAGGAAAAAAAAACACTTGTTTAGTATTTCTTCAAAATTTAAAACACTAAAAAACCAAAGGAACTATTTCTTTTAAAATTAAACAAAACAAAATCAAGGGTGCAGATAGGCCCATAGTGAGCAAGGGACAGCAGGGTCAAAAGTTCCATTTACATTCTTGCAAGCGGCAGAAATGTTCTTTCCAGGATCAAGTGTGGAGGTGATGTTGATTTGGTTCATGGTTACGTTTTGACAACCTGGAGTGTTGGAGCAATCAAATATAATCGCTTCCTCCTCATTTGCATAAGTTCCTTGAAACCCTCTGTAAATCACATTACTTACATTTACTGCCAAAGCCTGTCAATTTTCCAAAAAAAGAAAGAAATCACAACCCATGTTTTTCCTTAGAATTTTTTTAGTACAAGCGATAGTCTAAACTACTCGCACACACACAACTATGATGCCATGAGGATTCGAACCTGAGACTTCTAGTTTGCAAGTTAAGGCAATTTTCCACTGGACTAGACCCCATTGGCATTAGAATTAAGTTAACTAAATCTGGGTTAATTAAGTGCTCATTCTGAAGACCCTTACAATAAAAAGTAATGGAGAAAACTCACTGAAGGTTTGCAGTTGTGTCCATTTTTATCACAGTAATATTGGTCGATGATAATAGGGTTTTTAGCTCCTATTAGTGTGATATTCTCAAATGATATCCCTTTGACATATCCAGAACCACCCTGAAAAAAAAACAAAACAAAACATGATTGTTTTTGTTATATGGGAAAATTGGACTAGTTCAAGACACATTTTGCTTGTGTTCAACTTCAATACGACGGCGTTTCAGGATTTAGAATGATTTACGGTTCAAATTTAAAGAAAATCATGAAACGACGTTGCTTTGGACATAAAAAAAAAAAAAAAAAAAAAAAAAAAAAAAAAAAAAAAAGGGCTCATGAACTGTATTGGGTTTAATGTTCATTACCTGCCATGTCTTAATTCTAGCTCCATTCTTTGTACCATTGAAAGTACAGTTTCGCACATGAACCTCTTCTACTGTCTCATAAGCTCCATCTTCACCTAAGCTTCCCACACTATATATGGAGGAGTTAGAAATTTAGCATGCATTTATTTGTTTGTGGTTGATATACAGCGAAATTAGGGGAGGAGGAACCGAACTTAGAACCTCGGATACATGAATAAATACTCTTACAAACCCCTTGCATTTAGCATGCATTATTTGTAAAAACATATAGCAATACAAATATGTACTAACCTAATTCCATGACCTGGTCCGCAGACAATGCTGGTGATATTGATATGTGATGAGCCATTATTAAGAGCAATACAATCATCACCTAAATGTAAAACAAATCCGACAAATAATAATAACAATTATTATTTTATCATTATGCAATTACATAATAATTAGTTGACGATAATAATATTGCTAATGAGTGAAAGAGATATAAGATTTGATGCATTGATATTACCAGTTCCAATTGTGGAGTTATGGATATTGACAAAGGTTGACATGGAGATGTCAATTCCATCTGTGTTGGGGCTATCTTCAGGTGCAATAATATGAAGGTTGGAGACACTAACATTGTTGCAATTGTTTATAGTAATATGTGCTTTTGGACTGTCAAGATGTTTAAGTCCCCTTAGTTGAAGATAATCACATTTGTAGAAGTGTATAGCCTGCAACAATTTTCCACATTCTGATAATTTGTTACCAATATTATTTTGGGAATTGGTATTAAGTTTTCTGTCATTAGATAAAAGTTGAAATAGATTTTGTCATACTTATATGCATATGTTGTTAGACTGTGAATCAGAATCACAAGTTTAGATAAGAATCAACTATATTAATGGTTCAGATTCATAATATGACAAGGGAACATTCCTTAAGAAATACGTGCGAAAATATTCATAAGTGCAAAACTATGTAGAGCTCACCTTGGGACGTTGGTGGCAATTCACCTTGTACCCCTAGAAGTGAGCGAAAATTCTCTCATGTTAGACTTCGCCAACTTAAATTAATTAACCAAGAGAATGTAGAACAAGCAAAGAAATTAGAATGTTAGTGTTCACAAATTTACATTGTTTACAACATGGTGAAGTTGCCTAGCTTTGCTCCACCAAGGTTTACCATGCCCATCAATTTCTCCAGTTCCATTGATGGTGAGATTGGTGACCTCTGAAAAAGATATCCAGAATTCTTTACACTCTTTCCATGCATGTAGAGTGTTGGGTGCTACAATTTTCCCCAAAATCTGTCATCCACCCACCTCAATTATGTCAGCCTAAAACATGATTAAGCACCAGAAAATGAAAAAATGAAAGGAAAAAAAATGTCCCTCATTGATTCCAAGTTTTGGTTAAATCAATTGTTAAAATTTGAAGTCCTCCATTTATTATAAAATTGGTGTGTGCTTGCTTTCTTACCTGAACATGGACAGAGTTGGATTTGCAAGGACCCGAGAATTTCATAGGTTGCAAAAGGAATGTTTTCTCAGCTGGTACTATAAGTGTTGGTGTCCCTGTATAATTAGCTTCAGTTGCTCCACATAAAGCTTCCCATGCTTTCAAGAAAGCCTTTGCACGTATCGCAAACATCAACTAAGTATTAATTTAGTGATATTTCTCTTTTCAATAATATCATACGAATTCTCAAGTTCGAATTCCTTCTTGTTATTGATAACAAAAGAAACGAAAATACACACTCTAAAAATTGAGAAACTTACTTCAGAATCATCAGTTTGGCCGTCTCCAACAGCATCAAATTGAAGCACATTAAAAGCTGTTTGGCCATACCAAACACTATTTGACAAAGCTACATTGCAAACTATCAAAAAGCTTACAAGTAGTTTGCTCATGGTTAAGCACCTCAGACTGATGGATGATATTGCAATAGGATTGAGATTGTGGTTAGTATATAGAAAATAAAATCCCAACCATTGTATAAAAATGAAGGACTACACAGAAGCGTATAGAAGTTGGAAATTAGGGGTGATTAAATAAATAAATAAACTTCATTCCATATTTATGGTTTATACTAATTTTGCGGTTTCTAAATTAATTAATTTTTATTATTCTGACAATTTAATAATATTAATTAATTGTTTTAAGATTTTTATGTTCTTTATCTATTGTGACAAACGATTTCTATCAATGCTATACTTCTTCTTATAAAATATGTCTACAGTTATTTATGTTCATTGCCCGTTATATCATGAGTAAGTATTGAATTAATTTTAATACTCATATCAATTTTACAAAAGTATATTGAATGTAAAATTCCGTTTACAATTGAACATTATTTTTTGGTGAAGAAACGGGGCTAACGCCCAACAAAGAAATTAAATAATGGCTCGAGACCTATAGACTCCAAGTAAATCTTCATTAAGAAAAGACCTAGTACTATTAGGAGGGTCAAGGAAGGTTGACAGACCCAACTCAAGACATGAACCCAATTCAGCTAATTTATCCACTACCATGTTGCACTCATGATATACATGATGAATAGAACAAACCCAGTTTTTGTTTATATAGTCTTGGCATCCCCACAACATAGAAGCAAGAGGATGAAGGTCTTCCACTTTTTTGTTAAGCAGATAATTGAACATTATCTTTACTATTAAGATATTGATCAAGATAAGCATGGTTAAGTGGTCAGAATGTTTCGCATTTAATTGCTAGGAAAGATAGATTAAGAACTCGGAGACCATTCGCTTAGAAGGGATTTTTGTAGAAATGTCACATGAACTTATCCTTCAATTTTAATTTGTCACCTCAAAGAAAAATTTAAGAGAAATATCACCTTAATTTTTTAAAATCCATGATTTGTCATCTTACTTTAACATCATCCAATTTTTCATCCATTTTTAAGGATATTTTAATTTTTTCAATTTTCAAAGAAAACAAACAAATAAAAAAATAGACCTTTCTCTCTCTTTCTCCCCTACCCAAACA